ATTTTTTTTCCAGATTATTTCTTCATTCTTACTTTTCCTGTTCTCTTTTTCTGGCATTCCTACTATTCAGACGCGGGCTTTTCTATTCTAATCCGGTCACTTCTCTTCCCTTCTCCCTTCTTATCTTCCAACTCCTTTTCTTTTACTTTCTGGAAGATTCCTTTGTTTTATCTTTCACCCCTTCTTTGACGTTTTATTTCTGAGGCCACGATCTCCGTTTACAGGTGTTGCTACCCTGTGAACTGCATCTGTGCGTGATTCATGGAGCGCAGAACCCGCTCTCTGAGGAAGCCTCCCGCGCTCCCGGGACTAGTTCCCGCGTGTCGCATTTTGTGTGACTGCAGAGATGGCGGTCCCTGAAATGTGCCGACTCCCTGTGCTCAGAGGGTTGGCCATGCTGCCTGGGCTCCAGGTTTGCAGGGCGCTGCCCTCTAAGCACTCCCATCAGCCTGGGGTGCCAGCTCTGTGTGGCACATCGGGGTGTCCCACTCCTGTGCTACACCACACACAGACACTCAGAACACTCACAGAGCCCTCCCATCCCTCCCCGCTTCTCTCTGTCCCAGCTCCTGCCTTCTTCAAGCCGGAAGCTGGGGCCAGCCTGCGAGGGGCAGGGGCGAGGGATCCGGAACCAGAGGGAAGAAGGAAGCCAGCGGTAGGGATGGGGCATATGGAAAGGCACCGTGGGGATGCTGGTGTGGCCACAGGGCTGCAGGGCCTCTCGGTCCACGGAGGACGGAGCCCTGGGCTCCATGCCCTGTGCCCTTCTCACCCTTAGGGGTCCAGGGCAAGCCTCTGCTCCTTGCAGAGCCTCAGTGCCCCTTTCCGCATATGAGGAAGACTGGACCTGCGTCCTTTCCTCTGCCCACAGGCTGCAGCCTAGGTGCTCCACCTGCTGGCCACAAGTGGCAGGGTCCTGTGCCGCGTGTGGCTGAGAGGGGCAGACCCAAGACCAACCAGGGCTCTGGGTGTTGGGCAGGTGGATTTTCCAGGAAGAGGTGGCAAGCTGAGCCCACAGAGGAAGACATCCAGGTTGATGGTCTTGCAGGACTCCTGGGGTCTAGTTTTTGGGTGAGGCACCATGGAAGGTCTCAGGGTTTCTACCGGGCAGGGAACCCAGGCTGGCTGACGGGAAGGCCAGGGCTCTTTTCTGGGCGCTGAGGGCTGGTGGGGCGGCCTGGGAGCCCTCAGTGAGGAATGCTTTTCCTCCCAGGAGCCAGTGGGAGGTGGACTAGGGACAAGCCGGGCGGGGGGGACGGGAGGGCCCTGCAGCAGGAGCTCCTGGAACTGGCGGCAGAGGCGCCGTGCGACTGAGGTGTACCTTTACTTCTTGGCAAGCACGAGTAGGTTTCTCCCCTGTGCCAGGTGTGTGTGTGTGGGGAGGACAAGTCTCCTGTCCTGGTGGAGATGACATTCTACAGGGTGACAGGCTCTACCGGGACAAATAAGGAAAGCCTGTCAGTCCGCGACGGGCGCAAAGCTCACCGAAGCCTGGCGCGGGCAGGGCGGGCGGGAGGGGAGAAGGGCGGGCAGCGAGCAGCGCAGGTCCCCGAGACTGGGGAAGACGGCGCGGGGATGGCTGGGCGAAGAGCCTCC